AACAATTAAACTTCAACAGTATTCGAGATTGAGCAGGAAAAAACTAATAGTCAAACGACATTTATTATAGGTACTACACGGTAAACGTGTACAAGTATGTGTACTCATATATAAAAGAAATATTACAAAACTTTTTATGGACCCTCATTCTTTAATGCTTTCATTCATCTATCTTTTTTTCTTATTTTTAATAAATGCTGAGTACTAAAACGTAGGATTTAATTTTTATCAGAACATTGTGATTATTATCACTCTTTACTTCACGGATTATATAATGTGATTATTTCAAAGAAAATAAATTTACATCAAGGAAAAATTAAAATAATTAACATTTTTATTCAAATTCGTTTTGATTTTGTCCTTTTATCTAAAAAACAAAAAAACCAATATCTAGTTTTAAAACTTAAACCAACTTAAATTCTGAAATATATATTTTAAATCTGAAATCTATAACATTTTTGTAAATATCAGGTAAACCTTATTTTAGTTTAATCTAATTATCCAAAATTTGGATTTGATGAGTATACAATATTTTGTCTTATCTATTTTAAAATAACTCAATAAAATGTAAATTATAACATTAATGCACTGCGGTTATTACAAACAACCAAATAAGTGCACTATTATTGTTAATTCATAGAAACGTACCGTTTAGAGAACGATTTAGAAGAAACTCGAAAACTAACACTGTCCCGAACGTTAAAAGTTTCAAGAGCACGTAGTACTAGTACGATTAGACTGTAAAAAACTATAAGGATGCCAGGACGACGTTGAGTTTATCGTCCATAGTAACACATAGCAAATACGATAAGATATCGGCCAAAGACACTTTCTGGTTTTGATTTCTTCCGACAGACAACCGTCGCGACGTTTTCGCAACGTGCCACGTGATGATCGTCCAGAAAATACTTTCGGGCACCGATCCCGATGCACCGAAATGGTCGTTTTTGAACAATTTCAGTACACGTCTCGTACCATACAATCGGGAGATGTTTCGCAGGCAGCAATAAGCATGTTCAAACGACCCCTAAACCATGTCGACCGTACGCGACTCCTACTCTATCCCTTTCTCGCGCGCGTTACAGTCACCACCGGATGATTTGCGGAAAAGCGGTCCACTATCGCCGTCGGGGTACACGAAGCCAGGCCGTCACGCGGATTTTCGCATAACCGCAGCCGGACACGGTGAACATGCGTTTCCTTCATCCTTCGAATCCCAGTCAATTACACTACGGAAAAATGGCTGCCCAAGCGACCGCGTGAAACTCGAACCTCGTCGGACACGCAGTAGTGGTGCTGATGTTCGTGATTAATATGACCGTGGCAAAACCGACGAAATGCTTTCGAACGATTTGATGTTGTAACGATGTATGCATCGTACAATACACGAGTGCTCATCGCACATCTCAAAAACAGTAAACGATATGTAGTTTTGAAAAATAAAATACGTGACACGTGACTCATGCAATTACACGCTATACTATGCAAATATTCACTTCCCTAATTAATGCCTTTGTACATTTTAATTTTGATAATTTGTATGGTGAATGGGATTCCTTTTCAGCTTTATGATTTTATATTAATTTCTTGGTACTTACCAAGAAGATGAATAATTATTATTTTTAACAAGAAATCTTTACACAGTAATTTATATCGATTTGATGCTGAATAATAAAATGAAAATATTATTAAGTGAGTTACCGGAACTTTTTTAATAATTTTATATTTTTAAATTATGATATTTAATATCAGTGAATTGTATAACTTGTATTAATAATTTTATTTTTATTTTTTAATTAACTTGACTGAAACGAAATGTTTTTGTTGTGTAGCAAAATACTTCTTGAAATGCTTAAAATTAAAATATTACTAGTTTTGAGAAAACACTGGTTTTACGTAGGTTTCTACTTATATTATATTCTGTCGATGAAACAAGAAATTACAATTGTAAACTTTCATTTTAGCTTAGAAAAGTATTTGTGGTAGATTTAGTTAGATGTGGTTGTCTGACATCCCAGTTACTTATAACTATTTTGATAAAGTTTTGAATTCTTAAATGGTTAAAATGTGGTTAACTAAGACGGAAAAATAATTTTACAATCGACAACTATTTCGAGGGAAACTTAACAATCGACCAAAGCTAAATGCCAAAGAATACACCTTTGAAATATGATTTAATGTATAAAATACAAAATTATGTATATGTATTATGGTAAACTTATATTTCTCTTTTTCATAAGGTAAATTTGTCAAATATTTATTATTGAACGATTAGTTCTATAATTAATATTTCATCGTGAGATTTTGTTATTTTATTCCCAGCATAGTGCAAATCGCATGAAACCTTTCACAATTATAACAGATTGTCAGCTTAGTTTAATCAAAAAATATCTTAACAATTTTTTAAGATTATAGTTTTTGATATAAAAATTGATCTTTGTATTAAATATATATATATATATATATATATATATATATATATATTTAAATATTTGAAGATTCATTATGTATACGATTTTAACTAGAAAAAATACTCCGTTAATCATAAACATTGGAAGTTTACCTCTAATTTTTCCATTGAAAATTTCAATCAACGGTTTGATTACAAATATGTATTTCTAATGCCTTCAATAAGCATTAACGTATCTACAATAATTTTTTGTAATAACATTATTTGCTCCTATATTATTTAATCATTAGTAAAACGTATCCTTTTCAAATTCAATCATAATAATGCGGTGCATCCAAATTGCATGCGAAAAAAATAAACATAAATTGGAATGTCCAAATTGCATGCCACCTCGTAGAGGGGTCTGTCCGAATTGCATGCCGTTTCTTATCTTAATATTATTTCAGATTAATATAACAATGCTTATAAAGTTGAGCTCCCAACATTTAAGTGACCGAAACGTACGTATGTGAATTAGACCACATTACACACAATAAGTGTGATTTGGTAAAATGTTTAATTGGATATAAAATTAAACAATTTTATATCTAAAAATTTTTATATCGGAATATATTGAAATATTAAAATATTTATTTCAATCTAGAAACTATTCAGTTGTAAGACCCATTTTATAAAGAGTTTAAGTTAAAATAAAGTTTAAGCTGTGCACATAAGTGCACGATAAATAAACTTGTGGGTACTCGATAAACCCCTCTAAGACGCAGGCGCAGATCTTAAGTAATTATTAGGGGGAGCAATTTTATATTATGAACATAATGAAATATATAAAATTCAATAATTCTATATTATCATAAGTATTACCGTTTACCATAAATATTTCTTAACACTTAAAAGGAATAAACTTTCAACTAAAAGTTTAAAAAAATATATAGGTACCTACATTGTAAAGAAAACTTTAAAAAAAAATTAAAAAAAATATATTTAATATGAAATTTAATTAAAAATCAAATTTTTTTTTGATTTTTGAAAACATCCTAATACATAGTTGCTATCGAAAAAATATAATTTTTATCATTGTTTGACATATAATATTATAATTTTTTTTCGTTTTATTTTGAGAAGTTTGGGGGAGGTTATCGCTCCCATGGCCACCCCTTGTTTTCGCGTCTGCTAAGACGTGATGTACAATTCGGACAGACCCCTTTAGGAGATGGCATAGCATAACGATGATTGTACGATTTTATCAATCTAAACTTTTAAAATGTATAGTAAGTAATATTTGTTCTAGGCTTATAAAAAGTAGTACTTGTTCTAGGCTTTAGTCTACAATAATAAAATAGCTCCTGAGTAAGATTGGCAATTCAGTTAGTAATAGCATAAATGTATGCATGCATTTATGTATATTACATTTTTTATTTTATTAATCTAAATCTTCTCTGTATAAAAATATAAATAATTCTCAATTGTATTTTTTTTTATTTTTTTTTTTTTTATATTAGAACGAAACCGTTGTATAATATAACATATCGATGTAGTTTTTATCATCAATTTATATATTCACACATTAATTATATTACATTAAACATAATTACTAATTTTTTCAAATAGAAATTGAAAACAGGTAGTCATGAATGAGTTTCTGGAATTAATTACACGGTATAACACAATCGTAGTAAGTGCAGTGAGTCTGCAACTAGGAATTAGCGGGCCTCTAAAATATTATTATTGTGCCAGAGTCTCAACATTTTAATTGGGGCATAGTGAAGTACAACAATTAAGCAAAAGTTTGTCAATGAGCTTTTTCCCAATAAATGTGACCACGAGTTTCATAATTACAATGCACACAATCATTAACTGAACAATCAAATTGTAACTTAGTGCCGATCTACAATATTATTTCTTGGGTAAATTTTTCGTGATCAGTTCACGAATTTTACTGTCAATGGTTCTATACCGGTTCAGTAATTTAACTCATTTCAACACAAACAACAGTTAATATACATTATAATCAGGATAAATTGTAAAGACTGGAGGTCATTATTGTTTTATTACTATTTTTTTTTATTTTTTTTAACGTCAAATGGTTATTTACAATTATTATTGAGTTTCGATTTTCAGCGAATACAATTTTATTTATTTAAAAATCAGAAAAATTCGGTCAACATTTCCAAACACGACGTTGCCGAACGAAAAAAAAATGGCGTCGAACGCTGTCGCGTATATCAACGAAGTTCGTAGTAACGACCACCAACGACTAATTTTTCTTTTATTTTTTCCTACAAAATGACGAGAGATCAAAAGCTCCGTAACGAAGACAATTTTTGCCAGATCCAATTCGTATTTTTACAATCATATAATATAAGTGTTGGAAAGGTAACTAGCTGTTTGTAAATTACTTTAAAAATAAATTAAAATATATTAAATTAGTGAAATGATTGTTTTTTCTAATATTTTAGTAAGATTATCTCTATAAAACTACTCTTTAAACTGCAGTTTGAGAAACCAAACTCAAAATTAAACCAGAAATTATTTCAATTTCTATTAATTTGAGTAACTTTTATTTCGTTCTTAGTAAAAATTATAATGTTACCTGTAAAATCATTGGTTGTGTATTTATTTGACACATGTAACTACCGGTATCGTTTTTCTGTACGTTAAACACGTGTAACTTCCAAGTGTTGTGGCCATTATGAGTAACGGTCAACCTATGATTGTGAGCAATCAAGTTTGTGTGAATAGCCAGTATAGCTTTCGAGTCCGATTTGATCCAAGCCACCTGCAACATTATCAATCGTATTTAAAAAAAAAAAAATGGGAATTAAATTATTTGAAATTATGAACTATAGTTAAACCATTACTTGTTCATAAGTAAGGATTTAAAGAAAAATAATATCTATACAATTTATTATTAAAGTTATTAATAATTTTGTCATAGAAAAAAAATAAACACTATTAGGATAAGCGTGTAAACTTTAATTGATATACATGCTTTTTATTTATTAAATTTCAATGACGTCTAAAAAATATACCATATATAACTTAAAACATACAATGTTTTAACTTTTATATTATGAAACCATAATATTGCACTAAGTGAATTATTAAATACCTTTTCTTACGTTTTTAATCATACTATTCATTCGAATCTCAACATTTTCTCAAATGATGAAGAAGCTAAATTATATTATTTATTTATTATAACCGTTTCCATTATCATATACTATCTCATTCTAATCATCTTGCAAAAAATCATGCTACTCCTGCAAATAACTAAACAGGTAATCCTCCAAGACGGCTAAAGCAAAAACGATTTGTGATCTACTTAACAGCTTATACATATTTGTATTTAAATTTAAATATTAAAAATTGAATTGAAAATCATCATATGAAAGTATTAACCAAGAATAAAAAGAATAAGAATAATTTATTGGCTAAAACAAAAAATTTTACATAAACCTTTATAACATATAAATATTTTTTAGATTAAAATAAAATAAAATAAAAAAAAATATACTAAAATAAACTTAAATACTACTGGAATAAAAAATGGACCAATTCACTGAGGTATTACCTCGTCTTGGTGAAATTGAAGTTACTAATCATCTATAAATAACAGGTTTACACATTTACATAATATGTAAATACGAGCATTTTGTTTAATATTATAAATATTTGAATTTTAAAAGGATAAAACAAAAGAAAATAGAAGAAGAAAAAAGAAAAATTATAAATTTTCATGAAATTGATTGTTTATCCAAATTTTAATTAATTGTTTATATTTGTTATAAGTTTTATAATTTAATATGATTTGGGGAATATTATTAAGTAATTCTAGTCCTACTTTAACGAAGTATCTACTTGATTTTAAAGTTTTAAATGTATGAATATTTATGTTATTTAGCTTACGTTTATTGTAGATTTGTAGTTTAATTTCTATTAATTTTTTTTAAAAACGTAGTCAAGTGCATTTCGATAAAATAATTGTTGAACGTTATTTACTTTAGTCTTTAAATAGGTTTTCCGATGGGTACCTTTTAAGTTTGCTTAGGATTATTTTAATTATACTCTTTTGAACTATTAATAGTTTATTATTTGCAACTGTCCCTAAGCCTCCCTAAGCTATAATATCATATTGTAATAAGGATTGAGTCATAGCAAAATATACTAAAGTAATATTTCTTTATTTAGTAATTTTCTAAAGTTTATATAGAAATAATTTAGTTTGCGCATTTTAATAATTACATTTTTCACATGAATGTCCCATTTTAAGTGCTGATGAATAATAATACCAAACTATTTGATACTTTCAGTTTTGTCGATCATTTCGCACAACTCATTATTTGAACTAGAGTTTGTCTTATTTATTTCTAACGTGTTTATGTTAGGTTGTGTTATTTTTTCTTAGGAAAATGCTATGTACTTGGTTTTATTAATATTTAACCTCAGATTGTGTTTTAGAAACCACTCGTTTATTATACACATATCACTCTTTGCATTGAGAATTGAGTTTTTCCAGTTACTTTCAGATACTCTTAAAGCTGTATCATCTGCATAAGAAAATAGTTTGCCTTTTATTTTTAAATTTCCTAACGTAGATACATAAATAATATAAAAAATAATGGATATTACTGTACCTTGCGAAACACCATTTTTAATTTCAAGTTCATTACTAAAAGTGTTATTTATTCTAACTTGTTGTTTTCTGTTTAACAGATAAGATTTAAAGAGGTTATAAGGCTTATGAACTATGCCAATAGAATTAAAAATATTTAGTAACTGATTTGGGAGATACCATCAAAAACCTTACTAAGATCCATAAAAATACATAGAGTTTGTTTTTTACTATTCATATTAGAGTATAGATCCTTAGATATGCTAATGCGTCTTCGGTTCCAATATTTTCTATGAAATCGTACTGCGATGGTGGTATGATTGAGTTTTCTTCTAAATATCGAAGAAGATGACTTTTTATAGTTCTCTCAAATATTTTCGAGAATACATTTAGTAGTGAAATTGGTCTAAAATTATTAATATTTGATTTAATACCTCCTTTGTGTATGGGAGTTATTATCGCTATTTTAAAGGAATCTGTTGATGCTATTGTTTAAAATGTTATTGAAAATATGAGCTAGAATATCGGCGATTGATTCTTTGATTTTTTTTAATTATATTTATTGATATCCCATCTTTTTTAGGGGCTGAATTACCCCTCATATCAGAAATAATTTTAAGAATTTCTAATTTAGTTTCTAATTAAGTATAATGATTGATTATAACTAGGTTTATGTGTAGGTGTAGTGTTATTGGAAGTTGGGTGTGTATTTGTAGAGTTATGATTTCCCATGTTAGTAAGATATGTGTTAAAGGTGTTTGCTATAAAAGAGGGGTCGGTGTTTGATTCGTGTAAAGTGTTATTTATGTTGATGTTATAGTTATGCGTATTTTTTGATTGTGTTGTTATTTCTTTGATTGTTGACCATATTTTTTTCGGATTTCTAATATTATTTTTAACAATTTCACCATATAAGTCTAATTTTTGTTTTTTAATTATTTCTGATATTTATTTTTGTATTGTTTATATTTATTGATTAGAGTTGTATTAGATCAGGGGTCGGTAAGTAATTTACATTGGAATCCAAAAGTTTAAAATGATAAATCAATTAGGTCCAGTGAAAAAAATCTTTATATTTTAAAAATAGCAGTATAAAAATAAAAAAATAATTTTTTTGTTATTAAAATTAAATTATATTAAAAATTACAATATTAGAAGTATGAAAATAAAAGTTGACAGGGTCCAGAGTATTGCCTTCCGGCAGTTGTCAACTCCTGTGTTGGATGGTTGTAGGGTTACTTTGTGTAGCTTATCTCTCTTTTTTATTGAAACAATTATGCTTGATATAATCCATTATTTTTTGTTATTATAGTTTTTGTATCTTGTGGTAGTACAATATTTTATGTTATTTAGTATCATATTTGTATGAAATGTTATTTGTTTTTCTGCAGATTTCATTATTTTTATTTTATTCCAATCCATTTTATTAATTGACAATGCTAGTTTACTATAATCGACAAATGTATAAGAACTGTTATTTTTGTTTTGTTGTTTAGTGGGATTATTTAGTTGTAGAAAAAGTGGGTAATGATCTGTAATTAGGGAATTTATAACTGTAGCCTGTGGAATACATTGATTATTGAAGTCTTTAATAAAATATGGTCAATACATGTATTTGGTTAAGGTCGGGTAGGTTGATGTATAAGTTGAATTTGAATTTAGTAAATCTAGGTAAAGAGAAATCGAATTTGTGGTATCCAATATGTTGATATTTAAATCACCAATTAAGATAAATGAGATATTTTTATGTATATTTGTTGTTTGCGATTATTATTCTTAAATCTTCGATTAATCTTATTACATTGCCGCTAAGGGATCTGTAAATGGATAAAATTCCGAAGTTAAAATTGGTTTTCTTTACTCTATAGTTAGTATACAGTTTGCATCTAGAATATCAATCTCTGTACTTATTTGGTACATTTTTGATAAAAACTAATACACTATCGCTTATACGAACATTGTTACTGAGTATATTGTTTGATAGTCTTTAAATGGTAAGAATTGGCATTAAATTTAGTACCTAACTATGATTTTGATGTAATTATTAAACGAGTATTGTTATCAAATGCTTTATTTAGACATTCAAATTCAGGTAAGTGATGTAAAATGCTTCTAATATTTAGATGTAAAATATTTACGGCTGACTTATTATTCTTTATTTTAAAGTTTATTTCCTCGATTGATTTTAAGGGCGTAATTTCATTATTGGTTATTTCATTTATTATTGTTATTATACTTATTATAGGTTTTAAGATACATATATAGTGATATAATTATCGGTTATTTGAACACTGAATTAAAATTAAAATAATATCTAAAGAGTATCTGCTTTCTTCTTTTTCACAGTATTATTCATAATTTATTTATTTATATATATATATATTTTTTATCTTAGTGGATAACTCAATACTATGAATATAACTTAAAAATAAAAATAAATATTATGAAATATGATATTATACTCATATAGCTGCATACTATTTTGTGACTAATCGAAGTTATCATTATTCAATGAAGTTTTTCAATCATTAAAACGAAAGAAAATTAGAACGTTACTAATATTGAACATAGACAACCAAAAAATTATATAGATAAAAAAAACAGAAGATTTACTAACAATTCATGTAGAACTATTTAAATATTTATCTGTATAATAGATAAATAATTACTACGTTTATCTAGATAAAAAACAGATAGTTTTAAAAAGTTTCATCATTAAGAACTTACGTTTGTAAAATTATTATTTTTCTATAAGTAAAAAATAAATTAGCACATTATGCAAAATAATATTCCACAGTATGGGTTTACATGCCATAGCGCATTTTCGAAAAATACATATATTTATGGAACTTAAGTTTGAATATAAATTTCATAATTTTAAAATGGTATTGTAGAAGTTACCTATATATAATTTATTATGTTGGCTAAAACTATGTGAAAGTGACATGTTACTGTTGTTTTTAATAGATTTGATCTATTGAATTTAAAACTAATTTAGAAAAATTAAATGTAATGTAACATTTTAAACGGATGGTAAAAGGTCAAAGAAATTCTAAGAATACCATAAAACATGAAACGAAATATGAAAACTATGTCCTTAGAGATTAAAATATATATATATATATTACCATAATTTTAAATGTAAATTATTATGTAAAAACAATTAAGTTTTTTTCTTATGTATAAGAAAAAAAAAATCTTAAAACTCATTTTAAATATTTATAATAAAACTTCAAAATATACTTAAAAGTTAATTTGCAAAAAAAAAAATAAAAGTACATTTCTTGTCTTGTTTAAAATAAATGCAAGATTAATATATTTAATTATGATAAAAGTTTTTAAATAATAAAATAAATCATTAAAACAACTGTTCACGCACACTTTGGGTGATTCCAGACTTGGGAATTTCACAAGACATATAACCACATGTGCAAATGAAACTAAAAAAAAATCATTAGACAATAATTTATTGTTTAAGTAAATAATATCATACTAAGAGATTTATAAAGTTTTATAAAATGAATCATTTCGTTAAAACACAAAACATGATTTAAAATAAAAAAATTTAATTTTGCCTACAATAAAATTGTTTGTCAATAAAGATGAAAAAAAAAACGATATTATTACTCGTCAGATTTTGTCGAAATAATAGCGCATACAAATCTAATTTCGGACAAACACATTATTGACGTCCTGGTTAAAATATCTATTTATTGTTTCTATTTTGGAACAGGCCGGATCACCGTGTGTTTATTAATGTGGTACCCCGTAAACATTTGATGTGATCATAAAACGTATGGGTTCAACTTAATTCGTCGTAGGGTACCTGTAAACGTTTGACGAAAACCCGAGAGAATCTTCGATTTACGATGATATTTTCCGATTACGGCCCGACATGTACTGCGATCACAATTGTCGAAAGAAACGGAAAAATCTAGTTCAAAATTATAAATGTATCTCGGTGATGCACCGGTTGGATGATCGGAGCAGGAGACATGACGGTGGTCAGCGTTCGGTGCGGGGTTGTGGAGAGGGTAGAAACGCGAAGGCGAGTGCGTGACGATAGAAGTAATAATACCTGTAAGCGCACAATATCTGTCCGGCGAAACGGGTAGCCGACGATTGCCTTATTACATTTGAATGGTACGTGACATACTGTGGGGCGAATAAAATGAAAATAAAAATTTTACGGACCGGCAATGGGATGGATATCGGGACGGGAGACGAACCGAGCCGATGTTTTTAAGTCGAATCCGGCGGTCTTATCGGCGGCGTCGCCTAATGAACTTGCCACGCGAAACACAAACAAAGGACTCAATCAAGTCGATACACGCGACGGTGGTACCTTTAAGTTTTTATTATTAGATTTGTTAAGATTGACCCAAGAGTTTTCACCGGAAGAATGAAACATGGACGGGAGTCGACGGACGCGCACAAAAAACACCACCGCCGTCACCACCACCTCCGTGACAATTGAACCGGAATTCGTCCCATAACTTTTGAATCGTACGCCCTCCGTCATCATGCGCGTCGCGTCACCGCTACCACCATGACCGTGGGACGGCGATCGGCGAACGAGTGGAGAGGAGTAAAATAAAAGGAAAAAAATAGAGAAAAAAAACGTTGACTCGTACGACGGCTTCTGTTATTAGTTTACCGCGGAACACGGAAACCCGTAACTGTTTCCCTTCGCTCGTTGGTTTTCAGTTGCGCATCACCCCGTAGTCTGCAAAAATTCAATCGGTGCCCTTGGACGTTTATTAGTTTACCCCGCGGCTACCACTACATACGTAGGTCCGCGACGAATATTTTCTTTTTTTTCTTTTTCCTCGGGCATCTTAACATGTGATATCCAAGCACGTGTCCGGCGTCTGCTGCTCGACACATCCGCCCTGCAGCCACTTTGTTCGTCGGAATACCGTTCCCGTCAAAAGTTAACACGTTTAATTTGACGCCTGTATGCCGTCCTCAAAACGACCGCCTCTCCCGTGACACGAAAACAAATGTAATTAGGAGATTTCGTTCGTATTTTGATATTCACGAAATCACCGATCGGGGTATGTATAGATTTTTTTTGTTTAGCGATTTTCGATTAAGAAAGATTTAACATGTGACCTAGTCCTAATGAAATACGTCCTACGTACGTCTGAAAATATTTCATGCTGACGCTAACGCTATTTCTTTACGCACCTACCGCACCAACTATAACGTTTTCGTTTCCAAAGTAATTGCAGCGTTCGACGTGTGACAATGTACGCCTGATGTGTTTCATAAATAAAAAGACATTTTTTAATTTATTAATTGCTGAAATCTTGGTGAAAATATTATCTTTAACTTGTTTTTATTATTATTTATTACCAAGGAAAAATGAGACTAAAACTAACAAGTTCTTTGCTTGATTTACAAACCTACAGAGAAAATTTAACTGCAACTTGTAAGTTTTCTTTTTAAATTTAAATAGCGATCAAGTGGAATACAACTAATAACCAACTTTAGTATTTGTTTATGTAAAAACCCAAAGTTTGATAAAAAATATAAATCTATATCGTAGCGACAATCGATTTGTCTTTTCACACAAATCCTAAAATTTCAATTTTAAGAAATAATTGATATGCGTTAAGTTGACTTTTGGGATATCTGTCACCAATAATGTTATTACTTACTAGTACTTTCGTATTACGGTTCGGTAAACACACACTTTTTCTCGTAAACATTGTCCAAGGATGCCGTCAAAAATGACTAAAAATAAATAGATGTCTAGTCACGGTGAAAAAATAACCATAGTCTATGGATTATTTATTACAGTAGAATGTATTTTTTTTTTAATTTTTTTTTTTTTTTTAATAACACTTAGAAATGATTTTCCTCTCAATTAATCTTTACACTGCATTGGACCGTTTTCGGCACTTGTTTATAATATTTCTTAGCGTTTTGTATCATTAGTCAATATCAAAAGTTATTTTAACCTGTCAATTAAAATATCGGTTGTACACGGTTACCGAGCTTTTTCCGTGAGAAATGAGATGGAAAATTGGTGGCAAAACGCTAGTGGTTAGCAACTATTACTACTGCTATTATACAGAATCGATGACCGGAGAGCAAACGTTTTTCCTCTGTCTCTTTCGCTGCACGACAACGACTACTATTTCTGCTGCTACTACTATTAAAGCGGTACATAAGTTTTCATTACAAACTTTTCAGACTAAACTACCGATATGCAACGATAGTTTTTTCCGTATATGTATATATAAATATAGATTTTATGGTTCGACTATGGAATAATCACGGGAGGGGTAGGGGAAGGATATAATAATTTCCAAAATACTAATTAAGTCGGTAAAAGGGACTTAAACTATACCCGTGTGTACGTTAGTCATTCAAGAACGATAATACTATTTTATTATTGCGTATTGATCGTTCATTTATTACCTTGTAGTTTCCCAAATTGTTCACCGTGCACGTAAAGTATATGTCTCGGCCTTGGGTCACCGTCCAATTTTCCAGTGGCGCATAAAATTCAGGCATTAATTCGTCTGGTTCATGCATTTGACCTGTAACATTGTAATGTTTATATTTACTGTAGATTTAACTCGTTTATGAACATTTATGAAACATAACATATGATCTACATGTAAGCTTACACAAAATGAGTATTTTATTTTACTACTTTGAATAATATTATACTAAAATATAAATATTAAATGTATAAAAATGTATCAAATGTATCAAATTTTGTATAAATAAAATACGAGTGTAACATATAATAAAATAATATTATGTAAAATTACAAATGTAGAAATATTTAAATATATAATAGATCGAAACGGATTTGAAAATTGTTTAGACCAAAAAAAAAAAAAAAGCCATAAAATTAAAAATAAATGTCGAATGTGTCACAGTGGTCGAGTATTGATTGTATTCTAAATATTATAGTAAATCTCAAAATAAATTTTGTAAATTTCTTTGTAAAGAATTCTGAAGTGTTCATAAATCTGTAGTTTTCGATCACTTTAATAGACAGTATACTCGTAATTTAAGGTATATTATTTAACAGCATATTTTTTATAGCTGCTTCCCTTTAAATAGTTTTAGCAATAAAACAACGAATCATTTAAAAATAATGTAATATAATATATATATATATATTTTAATGAGAAACATTTAATAAAAACGAAATATTCTACAATTAATATTCTATAATTAAATAATAATTAATTAAGCCCAAAATGATTAATTCTTATGCGATACATCTTTATGACATGAATGATGGAATATTATTTTTTTGAAACACGTCGATTAACAATTAATCAGATTTTTAGCGATGCGATCACATTGGTATATTTTTTTCATCATAAACCAAAAATTAAAATCGCAATATCAGAAGCACCTACATATATATTTGAACGGATGTATATACTAAACTGAAGAAAAAACGTTCAAGACACGCGGGGACGCGTTATAAAGTACGCATACTCAGTTCACAAACACAAAAGCCGCACGAACACGAACTAGAGAACGAGTGTTCATCTGCATAGCGAGACGGTAAAAGTTTTGTTTAAACCCGTAAAGCATATTCTTCGTCGTCATCTCATCGTTATAAGAAAAAATAAAATATATTCGTGCGTGGTTAAAATATGATGCTGCCCGTAGGCGAACTGTAGTACAAGTTGTTTTTTCTCACCACATCAAGTTTTCTAATAAAATTGTTTTATTTCATGTACATGTTTTTTTTCTTCGCCCTCAAATCTGATGTCTCATTTATTACGCCATGTAAACACGTTATTATATATTGTCAAAAAACGCTATACATAATACTTCGTGTACAGCGTAGTTATAATAATATACTTGTTTCCATAATAAAATTATACAACAGGTGACGCATGGATATCGCGTATGATAAAGTGTTTGATTAGACGTACGGCAAACTTTAGATTTATGAGAATTCAGTACCTACACTTTTTTGGTACCCAGTCAAATTCTCTACGTTATGGCATTACTTTAGATTTTATATTATATAGATACACCACATCCTATTGTTAAAATTGGTAGCACATAAATGGACTCCAGCAACGTCCATGTAGGTGTTACCAATTTTAATAATAAGATTATTTGTCTGTGTCTTATAAAAGCAATAATATTACAATAGTCTACATACTGGAAAACTAAATATTTTTTTCAACATAAATCATGCCTTGAATTAGTCTGCTGTTCACATTTATTTTTTAGGCTTTATAGTATGTTGTCAGTCTGGATAAAATGATTTTGAAGAACGATCGTTAAAAATATTATTTGGCTGTGCACGCACATTGTAGCACCCAGCCAGTGGCCGGCAATAATCTCAAGCCCTTGACGAATTTCACAAACAAATTTTTTTCTGCACGACAACTCTTGGACAAATGTTAACATTGACATTCTCGCAACATACACCCACGAAACTTCGTACCGAATTACCATGTAATAATTATGTACTCTTGCAATTTTATGATATTATTTATTAATTTTTTACATGGCAGCGATGCACGCAAGAATTTTAATGTAGCGGCGTTATTGACACACGTTCACATATCGAGTCCAGACGTGTACCTAACGGAGAAGACGGTGTGTGCGGTGTCAGAATCACGGATTTTTTTTTAGACTTTACTTGGTTGGTGCATTGTGACAGTGTTCGTTATTTCGTTTGTGTGTGTAGGTACATAATAAATACGCGTGCGTGCGTATTAGTAACTGTGTATGTGCGTGTGTGTTATTGACAAACTGCATTAAAAAGATCGCGAGAGATGACGGTGGAAGGAGTGGGTATTGTCTGCGACGGTATTGTCCTCCGACGGAATTTTACATATATCGAGTGTTCGAAGTAAGAAAAACATATATTTCGCCTGGCTCGAGTGGGAAGTGCATTTCTTCGTCCTTTATTCGGCCTCCCGTGCACGCGTATGATTATAATACACCAATCGTATATATTCCATTACAGGATTTCAACGACACGAATGCACGTTACCGGAACACAACATGTTTATACATATAGACGGATATTCGAGTAAAAACACACGTCATATAAAACATGAGTACCAAACAAATGTCATACACATGTGCGTGTATACATGTATAGTATATGGATGAAATCCGGTTGAGTGTGATTTAAGAGGTTCGACTGTTTGAAGAGAATCTTAGCTATCGAGTGAATATTATGTCATACTCTGTATCAAACGCGTAAGTATATGTGATAGTGTTATACTATTATTTTAGTTAGATTTTTAGAAGCCAAGCAAAAAGTGTTCACAGCAATGATTTGTCACACCCAGAGTCTTGTTTATATCCTAATACAAGAACGTGAGACAAAAAACATGAAAATTGAGCATGGATGGTGCTCTAAACAATTTTTTCTTTCAAAACTAACGAATATTTTAAAAAAGTAAATCGATAGCATTGTCGACTTTTTCTCAGCAAACGTTTTTATTTCTTCTCGAACACATAAATTGCTCATTTTTATTTTATGAATTAAAATGTTTACGTTTTAATTTTAATTTTAATGTTTCCTCATTAATTGTTTGTGAAAAATATCCATATTTCAAAGTTCAAATAAAAAAATCCTTACAAACATTTTTTTTTTTTTAATCCAAATTAAATGTTAGAATTTTTTTTTTCGACAGCCAAGTATTATATTTATTCAATTATAAATATTAAACAACTTGTTTTATTGCATTAAATTATTCTTAGAAAATGTAATTATTAATTTTTAAAAAAATATATGGCTGTGAGACAGAATAATCTTAAAGCCCAATAAACCATAAGAAGAAGACGAAGAAAGAAATATACTAAACTAATTCTCTAATATATAAAATTAATAAATAAACCTAATGAACAATCACAAAAAAAACCATTTAACACCATATTAATATTTTCATCAATATTTCTCGTTTAACTCACGAATTTAATATTTCTTTGTTACAAAGGCGTACATGAAGTTTTCCCCGTCCTAGATTTTATTTTTATTTTTTAAAATTTCTGATGATTTATAAATTGCATTTAAAATTATTTATAGTTAATATGTAACTGTTTACCAATTATTTAAAGACAATTGCTTATAGTTATGTATGTATGTATTATAAAGTACGTTTGGTTATATTTTTATAAAATTAAACCTTCTTTAAGATACGATAAATATATTATTATGAATTATGCCACAATTTGTGTAGTACTGATTTTTCGGAAAGTCATGATCCCTTAAACAAACAGTACGAGTCACAACATTATTGATAGATTAATTTTTTCCCCTGCATGAATTTAAAGAAATTTTGTCGTGTGATATCCAAATATTACTCACGGAGAGGAACATAAAGCCGATTTTCGTATACGTTCACGTTTGCTGAAGTAATTTTGAAGCCTCCGCCTGATTGACGGTTTCGACAACAGTCCGTAGGAAGCGAATTTTATTATTATGTGTCGGCATCTCCAGCAAATACTTTTGAAAACCATTTGTTTATTTACTTTTACCAATTATTAACATCTGATGGATCAAGATCTATATAGTAATTTACATATATATAACAATTTACACGCTCTGTTCGTGACGCGTACGTAAACACATGGATGGTGTCGATTGAAAACCGTTCGAGCGTGAAATAATATATTATTAAATAAATGATGCGAACTTGGAGAATCTTTTTTTATTCTCTTTACCCGTATAGGCACTCTAAAGACGAAGCATACGTTTCACATGATTCCGATTCGACGGCATGACATCATGCATACGATATTTGCTTAGTTTTCAATATATCCTTCTTATGGTTCATAAGAATTATCATTCCGTTATAAATTTTGAAAATATCTTTTTAAAATCAAACATGACGACATCGGATACAACAGCAAGATAGTTATAATAATAATAATAATATAAATCCATATGTGCTGTTATACTCGTACACTTATCGTGTCAGAATCTACGTCATTATGATCTTTCGATCGCGGAGGTATGCACGATGATCGCAGTTGACTGATTTCATTTATTTCGTAAAGGTGAATAATTTACTCGTACAGACCGCACTTAAACGACTTTTCTAAGGTCAGGTTAGACCAAGAAAGATTTTAACGTAATGTGCTTCTATCTCTGAAATTTCAATCGACTCAAGAAGTCGCGTGTTTGTAATAACAAATATACACTTTCGTATTACATAGCGGTGCTGTTCGAGTTTAAATTTAAAATACTAATAATAATACTTGCAATTCGTGATCACGCATAAACGTGTACGTCTACGGCTGCAAAGCACAAACCGTCAGACTGCTGTGCTTCAACATTATAACACATCAGCAGCTTTTATCCTTTAAAGGCGTAAGGTTCCCCTAGTTTATGAATAATATGATATTTATTATAATTACTAATTTTTTCATATACTTTGATAATGTCATCGCATATAGTTTTTGTGTATGACCAGTGGCATTGTGGATCTCTATACTTTAGTAATCAAATATTGATCTATTTTTAATCGAAACAATCCTGTCGTCACCTGAAGACATTGCATGTCACAGTGACATGTAAGAGTATTTTTTTTTT